TTAAATAAAAATTTTAAAAAATAATAATATGCTTGACGTTATGCTGCATGAACTAACTCAGGCGCATTAAAGACAAATACTAAGACCATTGTTGTAAAACCAGAAGGATAATCAGTAAGAATTGTACTGATATACAAAGAGGGAATGGGAAGGAGTAAGGAGTCTGAGGGTGGGAAGGAGCAGACATCACGGGGTCACAAATTTGGTTGATGGAAGGAGAGGGCGACAAAAAAAATCCAATGTACATGAATGAAACAGAATGTAAACAGTATTTTCCTTCTTGATAAACACATGGTTTAGACAGTATTTTCCTTCTGCAAAAGGAAGCTCTTATTCTCATGTGAATTCTGAGTTCCTTGAAAAAAAATTTCCTAACATAGTAACAATTTGCTTGCTAGGGTTTAGAAGTCCCTGGGAGGTGCAAACACTTGGTTGAAGGTTTGAGTTCACCCGTGAGTGTCTCAGGAGAAAAGGCCTTGGAGGGCCACTTTCAAAAAACATGCCATTTGAAAACTCTACAGAGCAGTCAGGAGTGGTCTCTAGAGAGTAAGTATTTATTACCAATCATTAACTAGACTCCTCATCTGCTGATGAGAGAGTAAATAAAATGAGGTCTGCCATCTCTCCAGGGAGCTCTGGTGGCCTAGGCCATAGGGAGCCGCTCTGCTAACCCAAAGATGTTGGGTCCTGGTGGTTCAAATCCACTAGCAGCTCGCAATCTCCTGTGAGATTTACAGCCTCCGAAAACCCACTGGAGGATCAACTATGAGTCAGTTTCAATAAGAACTTATGGCAATAAGAGTCAGTTGAGGGCTCTCAGCTGATAAACTGAGGTTGTTATTCAGGATCCTAATACTGATTTTCCTATCAGAGAAACACATGCATCAGTTCAGTTGATACTTATATTTCTTGCAGCAGATTAATAATTTCACTTTGTATATGTTGTGCTGGTCGTCATTTCCATGACTTCATACCGATTGCCTCATAGTTATCAGTGTTTGAGCAGACTCCACAGCAAATTGCCCTATTCTAGCTCTTTTGTGTAGGTAGCCAACTCATCTCCTTTTCATCCCCGTGTCCTTAGGATCCAGATGGACTCACTCTGTAAGTCAGAGAGACTCCTGGGTGCTCCCCATCCAACTCTTCACCACTACCAGGAAGCAGGCTAATGCTTGGGGGACCAACACGAGGGGTATCTCAGGAGAACAGAACAATCTACACAATTATGACCTTTAAGTCCCTAGTAGGCCCCAAGAGAACAACATGCATAAGCCTAAAGACAAAACCCACAGCCTGCAGAGGTCCTCCTGTGGCAGGCTGGTGTTAAGCGAGGCTCTGGCAATATTGGTGAGCTGGCATCTGTGAAATGTGGCTTCAAATTATTTCTTAGTCTCTCCACTGAGAAGATATGCTTAATGCAAATGGGATGTGCAAAGGTGATTGTTTTTTGCCTAAAAAAATGACAAGAAAATACTGTGAAGAGGAGAGGCTACTAACATTTCAAAGTATCTAAATGTTAATGGCTGAATAAGTTAAGGACTGAATGTGTACCTGTAAATGTACTGAGTCTTTCTTAGCTCAGAAATCAATCACCCTAGATTCTCCTGCTGCTACCTCTGCTTAGCTTCAATTCCCCCGCATAGGTAGTTGTTGTTTTTGTTGTTGTGTGCCATCCAGACAGAATTGACTCATAGTTTATTCTCCAGGTTTTCAGAGACAGTAAATTGCATGGGAAGAAAGTGTCCATCCTCCCATGAAGCAATTGGTAGCTTTGAACCACAGAATTTTAGCATTGGAATGAAGCTTCTTACCACCAGGCCACCGGAGCTCATAGTATAGTATTAGTGGGATTCATATTAGAACAATTTTCATGGTGGACAATGTTAAGAGCACATATAGTTCACACACACACACACACACACACACCCTCATCAAGAATGCATTTCAAATGTAAAAACAAAAATGCTGTTGTTGTAGGACTAGTCTTGATAACAATCCACATTGTTAAAAAAATAAATCACCCTTTGAAAGTTTACCTGTTTTCCTAATAATAGCAACGGCCAGGTGAGGTTATCCCACACTCTAGCAGACCTGACCTACCATTCTCACTTGCTGAAGAACTCTAAGGAGCCATGGCTCCTATAGCTCTAGCCCCATCACCCCGCACATATGGTTGATCCAGAAGCATTAGACTGACCACATTGCACCACACCACATCACACAGATCGTCCTTACCAAAACAGACTTATGGTTTGCTTGTAGTCTGTCAATGGCATCTTTATTTAACCTGAGTTTCTGCTCCAGGTCCAGCTGGATGCACCGAAGTTCAGCCTAGAAAGAAGAAAGAAAATTTTTGAGAAAGGAGTCCAGTCTATCAGAAGTTCCCCACAGGTTAACAGTCCTATCTATCACTGGGGTTCTAGCCCTTTTTCAATGAAAAAGAAAATGTGAACCATCGTGCTGCTTCCTGGAGCCAGCCTCAAGCCCACTAAAGAGAGGTCCAAAGGTCCTAGGTCCTAGAGGACCTAGGTCTGCTAGGTGCCTTCCTATGACTGAACAGTAAGCACCTGCTCAAATGTATTGCATACATATGTTCTGTTGGTCATCATTTCAGTCATTTCATATGGACTGCCTCATAGATCCTTAACAGAACTATATTATTGTTGTTGTTGTTATGTGCCATCAAGTTGCCTGTGACTCACAGCAACCCTATGTACAATAGCTCTGAATCCTGCCCTATTTTGAGTCCATTTCATTGTCCCCGACATTTCTACCCCTTAAACCCCAGTTACTGAGTCAATCCGTCTCATCCAAGGTCTTCCTATCTGGCACTGTTCCTTCACCCTTCCTAGCATGATGTCTTTCCCTCCTGGCCACATGCCCAAAGTTTGTGAAACAGAGTTTCGAAATCCTTGCCCCCAAAGAGCAACTTGGTTTCACCCTCTCTACAACAGACCTGTTTGTTCTCTTCTACAGATGGTAATATTGAGACACTTATCCAACTGTCACACACTTAGTCAATGGATTAGAACCACAAACAGTAACCACATAACATTGAGTTTATTCTAATCCCAGTGGCCCCATGCTTGTCAGAGAAAAAAATGTTATCCCACTGGGCTTTTCATGGATGATTTTTCAGAAGCAGAGCACTTATGCTTTATGTTCTTAGGTGCCTTTGGTTGGGACTGAACCTACAGTTTTTTAAATAACAGTTGAGCATGTTAACAGTTTGCACCACCATTGATTCAGTATGATCTCACAGGAGGTCATGGCATGGAGGGGCAGATTCTGAAGCCTGATGATCAGGTAAGAATCCCAGTTTTTCCACTTAGTAGAAGATGAGATGTTTGAACCAGTTTACTTAGCATCTCTACACTTCTATTTCTTCTCTTGTGAAATAAAGTACATAGTTCATTTTATTGAGTAAGAATTAAATGAGATCATATGTGTTGGTTAAGACCTCAGTTTAGAATCTGGTACATTGTAAATCCCCCAGAAATATCAGGGCTTGTCATTATCACTACTGTCCTTTTTATCACCTCCAAGGCTGCTTGCATTGCAAACTCTGTTCTCTGCTGATGGTGACACAGCGAGCAGCCCGCTCTCCACCAACCTAGGCCAGTGGCTGCCTGAGACAACAGGTCTGCAATGACCCAGCGTCATCTGCTTCCTGAAACACAGTAAGCACTCCCTGACAAAACATACGCCAATGTGGCACAAAACTTAATCCTCTCCAAACTGCCAACGCCTATCATTTTCTTACTTCCACACAGGCATGAGACAGCAAAAAATGAGAGTGAGATCATATTTAACTGCTTTTAATAACTACTGTCTACATTAGAAACTATGAGTCATTATGCATTATTGAAACTCAGTGTGCATAAATAGAATGTCTCTCCCATCTCCCACTGAAGTTTAGGGAAGCTCAGGTCTCTTAAGGAAAGAAGTGGCTAGAAAGTGACTGACCTCACAAGGCCTCTGTTCAGAAGGCTCTAGGTCACTGATCTGCAGTCAAGCAACTCCAGTGAATACCCATCCCTGAAAGTGGTATCTGAGACCTAAGACCTGAGACCTGAGGAGGACTAGCCTGCGGAGCGCAATGGTGGACCTTGACCCACCTTAGAGGCTTGCCCACTGACCCACTGCACAGGGCAACAGGGAAACATGGACTGCTTGTTTAAAAGGCATAAAAGACACAGTCAAACCCATCCCAGCAATGGGTTCCTGCAGCATGGCCCCTTCACAGCACGAACAGAAAATGCATTTTAAAGCCATCTACCCCAGTAGGATGCAAAGCTGTGGGGAGACACCCCAAATCTTCAGTGAAGAGGCTTCTCCCCATATCTCAACTGCCATAAAAGGAGAAAAGCACCACTAAGTGCCTACTGGGGACCTCTTGGAGTGAGTCACCCCAAGGGAATATACTCCCAATTACAAGAGGTGGAGTCACTGTGAGAAACTAGTATTTCCAGTTAGTCCTGTTTCTGGAAGAGGATAGGGTGCCTCAGCCTCTGGCCTTAGTGTTTCCCCGAAATGCTAGCCATATACACCTCTCATTTCTGATTGGGCCAGCACAAAAGCAGGAGAGCTGCTGAGGCATCAACTCCAATCACGACAAGTTCACATACACAGAGAAGAAAATCCTTCTTGATCTTGTGCAATCCTCACAGTGGCCAGCTTGCTTTCATCCCATCTTCCTGGCTGCTGTGCCAACTCATCCCTCACCTTCCCTGGCCTTGGACTTCACCAGACATGATGTCCTCTTCCAGACAATAATTTCTTCTTCACAGTGTGACTCAGTAAAATTGTTTGGACAACCTTCTGTTGTGATCCAGAGATTCTCTATTAAAAAATTAGTAGTTCACCAGTTTTGTGTTCCTTGTCTAAGTCTGGCAGGGCAGTTCCACTGAAACCTGAACATCACAGATATTTTCCAATACACAAATCCTGTTAACAAAGCTTCTAGCCATCACAGCAGCACACGAGCCACCATAGGTAGAATGGCAAAGATGAGAGACATGTGAGTCCTAGAAGCACAGGCATCTGTGTAGCAAAAAGGCTGGAGCATCCTGCCAATTTCACCAAGGTAGTAACTACCATTATGCAGCTGGAGCCAAATAATGGGGGTAGAAGGCTTGTTATTTGCTGGATTTCCTGAAGCAAATCATTGCACTTCCTTTCCTGTGGTGCTGAGGCACACGAATGTATTACGCTCCTATTCTATCTGTAGGACAAAGGTTGCAGCCCAAGCTTGGTGGCCAGGGCTTGGTGTCAAAGTGTAATTAAGAACAGGAGAAGGAGGTAGCAGAGAAATGGAAACTACAGACAGCTCAGTTCTAGTCAAGTAGTGTCAGGCCCGCCGTGTGGACAGTTTGCATTCCGAATCTGGGACTCTGGGTGCTGACTCCATTTCTCAGAACTTTTTTAACAGTCAAATAAGACACACCCCCTATTGTTGAAAGATTTACTCAGAATACTTGAGGTCTATGGAGAAAGGTTGAGTAATACTGAATCTAAACCACTGGCTAAAATTTCTTGAGAATGGACTTTTCCTGAGAGGTCTCAAATTATCCACCATCTGGCTTCCTGGCTGTAAATAATGCAGGTGTACTGCTTCCCACAAACAGGCATGAATACGTTTTACTTCCAGATACTTGCACTCCTGCTCTGCAAAGAGATTGGCCTAGGTCACATTCTGTCCAGAATTTCTAGAACCGATAAAGCTCAAAAGTCTGCCATTGAGTCAAAACCGACTGCATACCCAGAAGGGGTTGGAAGCTGTGGGAAAGGAGATTGCCCACTTTTGTCCTGCAGAGCCACTGGTGGATTTGAGAGAGGGGTGCTGCCTTCAGGTTCCAGTGCAACCCCTCTACAGACAAGGCCCCTGATTTTGAATGTTGTGCATTTGTAGACTCCAAAGAGCTAAAAAAGGGACCAGCTCAGCTGTTTCTTGCTCCTGCCCTGGCTTCTCACTACTTGAGACCTCTCCCTCTTCTGAACAGGTAGTAAGTGCCTAGGACCTGCCCTTTAACTCTCCACATAACCTGGCACTTGCATTGTCTTTCTATTTAGAGTAAAAGCTCAGCCCAACATTTATACCAGTAAGTTCTGACGGCCTACTGGCTGAGGTGCAACCCCAGAAGCATGCAGTTCAAGTCCATGAGCCACTCCTTGGAAGAAAGATTGGTAATCTCCTTCCGTGTGGTTAACATTTCTGAAAACCTGTCAGAAGGTGAGCTATGGGTCAGTTCCAACATGACGGTACACAACAATAACAACACTTGTACCAAAGGAGAATTCAATAATGCTTTGTAAGTGTGGGTCAGAACGAACAGTTAAATCAGGTCACAAAAAGATTCTTAATCACACAACATACATGAGACACATGAGAGCTCATATTTAGGAAAAGCAGCCTGAGACTCCAAGTAAGGGACTGGAGCTGGCCACCGCCAGGGCAAAGCAGCTGCTCTTGAAAGGAAAGGAGCCTCATGAATCCAGCGGCGGTGGCGACTGCGGCAGAGGGAAATGCTGAGACTCCGTGAGGAAGAGCTGGATTGTGGAACATGTCATTGACCAAAAAATTAGCCATCTCTCAAAACCCAAACAAATGGTTTTGTCCATTGTTGTAGCTAGTAACACTGGAGTTTTCAGAAAGGGCTCACTTGGTTAACTAAGACATCAATAGCTCTGTGAACTCTGGGCAGACTCTTTCCTGATATTTATCCTCATTGTATTTGCATTGCTTTGTTGGGAGTAGGGGTGAGTTTCTAGATGGCAGGGCTTATGCTGGTTATTCACAGCAAATGGTTCATCTTCTTGGCTGCTAATCAGAAGGCTGGCAGTTTGAGCCCACTCAAGGGAGCCTTGGAAGAAAGGCCAAGTGATCTATTGCTGATATGTCAGCCTTCTAAAACCTATCAGAGCACAGCCCTGCACTGACACACAGAAAATCACTATGTGTTGGAATTTATTCATCAGCAATCAGAATGTACAAACAACATGCTTGCTTGACTAACTAGCCTTTAGCACCCTCCAGTACGACCTTCTGCAAGTAACTCCAGCAAGCTCAGGCTGGCTGAAGGCAGCCCTGGTTACCGATTACAGGTGATAACATTTTCAGAATAATGTTGGTGAAGTACCACCAAGGTACTATATCTCCTGTTATGAGGCTTTTTGCAATCTTTTGGCACCTGAGATTTGGAGGCATTATCCAGAGGGGATCTACACTTAAAAGTAAGCCTATTTTCTGAGCTGAAAACAAGGACTCAGAAAAAAGGACATGAGCTCTCTATGATGACCAGAGAGCAGAAGTCTGTGAATTGGCCCCAAAAATCTGGGGTCCTGAGCCAATACCCATGATTGCCATTCAGTCCTAGCAACCTGTCCAGCCATCATTATATGATTTTACACATCTCTCTTCTAGGATATCAGAATTTGGGATTCTGGACATGGATCTGAGCAAATAATTGCTACCCAGAGTCAGAATTACTTCAAGTCTCTAAAACATCAGGTGTGTTGTGTTTAAAATTTATACTTATATGTGCTATTACAGACATAAGATTTTTTTTAATGAAAACAAACAAATATATATAGTATTCTGCCTCTGGGGAAGAGGGGTGTGAAGATCTGGAATTAGAAGGAGACCATTTCGTGGTATAACTTACTGCACTCTTTGGTGGAGATAGCCTTTAACTTGTATCTGGGGTAGGGGATGTTTGGGGTTGTTTTGTTTTTACCAAAAATAACCCCCAAGAAAAGAAGTAGGACACATCTCTGGCATAAATGTGGCAGATTGACAGTGTCACAAAAGAAAGCTGGTTACAACATTGTGATTTTGGGGTCCTCTGGTAGGATGGCTTTCCGTAAGTGTTCATTCTTTACTCAGTGGCTTAGTTGATAGTCTGACCATGGACAAATATGGCAGATCTAATAAAAGCTCCCACCTCCTAGAGCTCTATAAAGATTTCAGGAGAAAATTCACATAAAAAGCATTTAGCACATCATAAAGCCAAACCCAACCCATCCCATGAAGTCAATTCCAACATGGGCAACCCCAGTCACGGTAGAACTGTGCCATAGGGTTTTATGGTCTGTCACTTTTACAGACGCTAATTTCCAGAGTTTTCCTCCCTGGCACCACTGGGTGAGTTCAAACTACCAACCTTTCTGTTAGGAGCTGAAAGCAAACTGTGCCATTCCAGGAACTTCTAGTACATCGCAATTTTCAATAAATACCGCTTTCACCAATTCTCTGGAAGTTTGGCCCTTTGATTCCTCTGTAGTTGGGGAAATAAAGGAAGGCCAGGACCTGCTTTACTGACAGGATTTTCACAGATCCTGGAAACAGTTGGCAAATTATTTCATGAACTGGAAACAGTGACTCACTGGCATCTGGAATCTATAACTTTCCAGAATAGTTCCTTGTAACACTGGATAGACAAATAGATCTCCAAGGATGGGCACGAGAGAGAAAGCCATCCAAAAGACCTTTCCTTTGCAGATGCCCCCTTTTCTGGTGCCCAGGACTCTCAGGAAAAGAAGTCACTGTGGATCTTCTGGTTGAGGTCAGAGCAAACAGTGAGCTGAGTGAGTATAAACCTGAGGAATGTGAGACAAAAATCAACGATGCTTCCTTACTTGGGGCGGGGGCGGGGGGGGGGTAACGGGGAAAGTGCGCTCACAGAAAGCCAACTATGAGAATCAATGCTTTCCAGCTGGCAAAACAGCACAGAAAGAAAGTTAAAAAGAGGAGAACAAAATGCTTGTGGTAGTTAAATGAAATTTCCAGGAACTTCACTGGGTTCTGAGCTTCAGGGCAAAGAAAAAGTCAGTCTTTTGTGAAGAGTTTCCTTATCTGATGGGATTCAAGTTACAGGCCATTAAAAAGATGCTTCACCACCCAGCCTGAGTCCTCCATCGAGTGAAAAACACCCAGGTAAGCCACACACTCGGATTATGATTGGATCTATGTTTCAAGCACAGTATCACCTTAGCACTTTCCAAGCTCTATGTTTCAGATCAGTATCTCTGGAATGGCACTTTATATGGATCTCTTACTTGGCTAAAGAGAAAACACGAAATTGAGGGAAAGGTTGAACTCTTGAATTGTGAATTTCTGCCAAAATTCTCCCTTCATGAGCTGTCTACGGAAATACTATGCAGATGTTGTTTGGACTTGAACACCCACATCAAGCCGCGTGAGAACAGGAAACTAGCAACATGAGAAGCAAGACACGGAACTATCAGGGACAAGGTGACAGATGGCAACAGCGTGATCTACTTGAGACAAGTTCTGGAGCCAAAAGCAAGAGATATTTGCTTTACCGGACTAAAGCCAAGCACTCTTGAAGTATAGCAGGACACTGGAGTGAAGCGAGCGGCCCCTGGAGCTGCCACAAAGGCCCCCAGCTGCTCCCTGGGCACCCTCTCCCCAGCCCTCCTCTCCCAGCACTCACCTCCTTGTCCCTGCGCGCTGCATCCAGGGAGACAGCAGCGTGGTCCTTGTGCTCATTCTGGCTGCACTCCTCACAGATGCACTGCTGGTCGGAGTGGCAGAAGGCCACCAGAGTGCGGTGGTGGGCAGGGCAGATGCGCTGGTCCAGGTCCCGCATGGGCTCGGTCAGCTGGTGGCTGTGCAGCTTGCTGTTCTCCTGGTGCGGCCGCAGGTGCTCCTCGCAGTAATTCACCATACACGTCAGGCAGGACTTCACCGCCGCCACCCTGCTGGCCCCCAGGCAGAAGTCACACAGGATCTCCTCCTGGCCTTCCCCCTCGTCCTCGTCTTTACCACCTGGCGTCTCCAGCTCTGCAGTACCAAGGTCCTGTCCCTCAGTCTGCCCTTCCACAGCCCCCAGAGACTTCCACTCCTCTTCGGCTGGACGGGCTGACCCAAAGTCTGAGCTGAGAGGGGTCAGGGTGTGACCCACGACCCCGGGCAGTGGCCCTGGAGCCATCAAATCAAACTCAGCCATCAGGTGGCTCTGCCTCAGCCCTCGGTCCTCTGCCCCTTCAGCTCAGAAACTATGCAGTCAGAGCCAGACAGCAGAGCCACGCCTAGCAGACTGCAGCCTTTAACTGTTTCCGCCCTCTGGAGGGAGCTCAGTTACTCATTACTTTGCCTCAGGCCAACAGCCAGCTGTGGTGACACAGGCAGTTCAATGGCTGGCCTCTGGAGAAGGCCAGCTCAGAGACACTCCTCACAGGTTCCATCCCCTCCTGGGGCCCAGCCCTGAAGCTTCTTCAGTGACTCCTTCCCAGCCCCCAGGATCTGCTGAAGACAAGGTGTTTCCTTCGAGGTACGGGAAGGGAGTGGAGATTCCTGAACTCCTTTGTGAGCCTGGTTTACTTTCCAGGGCTTTGCAAGCAAAATGTTTTTCTTTTTAAAAGGGAACCAAAATGTAAAAGATCTGAGGCAAAGGTGTGCCATTGACCCCCTTCCCACCTCACAGGGTGACTGTGAGATCACTAGGGAAAGGACACTTGAGTTTGTCCATGTCACTTGCCTTACACACCCTAGGAAACAGGCTACACACAGGTGGGTACGCAGTAGAGGTCAATAAGTGGAGGAAGAACCTTATCGCCTCATACAAGGAGCTCCCTCCAGGTCTTCCTTTTCCATCCTGCCCTGTGGTTCCAAGAGAGTACTTGACACTGTCATCAAGAAACAGTCCCTTTGTCCACTTAATAAAATGTGAAGTATTTAGCTCTCTCAAAGGAAGAGGTTCCTGGGCATGGCTACTGAGTGGGGCTATGTGGTAGTCTTAGCATTTGACAGATGAGCACCAAAGAACTCAGGGTTATTTCAGAGTACCTGGGCCCAACTCATGCATCAGGAAGGAGTTCCACAGTTCCCCCCACCCCCAGGGTTCCTTCTCACTTTACATATAGATTTGGCCTCTGTTTTGAATAACTAATGGTGGAAGTGCAACCAGGGTGTCCCTTAGCAGCAAGGATGGTGAAACTTAGTCTCACATACTTCGAGCATGTTGTTGGGAGGGGCTAGTCCTTGGGAAAAGACACCATGCAAGGAAAGGTAGAGAGCAAAAGTGAAGAAGACCCTCAACAAGATGGACTTACACCGTGACTGTAACAATGAGTTCAAGAATATCGGAGAGAGCGAAGAGGGCACAGGATAAGGCAAGGTTTGAATCTGCTGTGAACAAGGTCACTATGAGATGTAGTCCACCAGACAGTAACAACAGTAACGGAATAGGAAGGCACAGGGTCAGGAAAAGGGGGTTCAGCTAACCCTAGGTAGGGCTCAAGGGTGGAGGTAGTTCCACTGTTGCATTCTCAGTGATTCTGTACACCTGAGGTGGGATCTGCATCATCTGGATTAATGCAAATAAACACAGAGATTCTGCTTGTCACTCACCAGGGAACTTCAGAAATGCACAGGCTATTCAGAGGTAGAAGGCATAGAAGAAGAAAAAAAAACCAAAATAGACGTCATTGCTATCAAATTGAAATCAACTCCTAGCTGACCCTCCACTGGGTTAGCAGGGCTATAAATCACACAGGAAAAGACTGCCCATCCTTCTTCCAAGGAGCTCCTGGGTGAATTCACACTCTCAGAAAAGAACTGACTTCGACTAGGCCGCCAGAGAGTCCTAGAAGGCACGGAAGACTGGAAACCTCTGTTTCATACACCAGTATGCAGCAATATTGACTATATAGCGGAAAGGTAAAAAACAACTCCACTCTTTTATCAACAAATGAATGGGTAGACAACACATGGTGTGTACATACAATAAATATCACTTTGCTATACAGAGAAATGGAATTCTGACATGTGCTACAACATGTATGAACCTTGGAAGAGGCTGCTGAGTGAAATAAATCAGACACAAAAGAACAAATATTTGGGCATGTTGTCAGGAGGGACCAGTCCATGGAGAGGGACATCATGCATCATGCTTGAAAGGGTGGAGGGACAGAGAAAGAGAGAGAGACCATGGATGAGATGGATTGATTCAATGACTGGGGAAATGAGAATAGGTGTGCCAGAGACAGTAAAGTTGGCACAGGATAGAGCAGGCTTCAGAGTTATTGTTCATAGGGCCACTATGAGTTGCAAGCGACTCGATGGCACATAACAACAACACCATTTATATAAAATATCCATGAGGTAGATTGATTCCAAGACTGGGGTTATGGGGTTAGGTGTGTCAGAGACAATAAGATTGGCACACGATAGAGCTGGGTTTAGGGCTGTTGTGCATAGGGTCACTATGAGTCGCAGGCAACTCGATGGCACATAACAACAACAATATCAAGCAAGCACATAATAACCAAAGTTTATTAGTTACAACCAAGATGGGCAGGAGGTGGCTGGTAGGAGTTAAAGCTAAAGAGAAACAGCATTGCTCTTTGGGACAATGCAAAGCCGTGGTGGAAGCTGGCACAGCATGGTGAATGTAATCAACGTCACTGAACTGTACACTTCAAAATGGTTAAAACGGCAAGTGTTTTGTCAGACATATATTACCACAATACATTCCTTGAAATTACAGCCCTCTACATAGAACATGCATACTACTTCCCTATAAGAATTGCTCTCTCAGAAAAGGAGGGGAGGAATGACTTATATTGCATTGAAACAGATGAAGGCGAGAACTGTTTAAAAGGGACATATGAATGGGTATTCTTGTCATTACAGAAGTCCAGAGTGAAGGCTGCATAGTGGAGTGAACTTGGGGGAGGGGATTGCATAACATTGAGTTTTTCTTTTTCTTTTTTTTTCAAGGAGAAGAGTGGGAAGGAGTGGGCAGGGAGAAAAGTGCAACAATGAATGACTGGAAATCCTAAGTCTCTGTAAACTTTCATTAAAATTTAAAAAATTAAAAATAAAAAAGGAATTGTAGTCTCACTCCAGCTATAAAAAGATTCCCCATTGCCCTGTACCTGACTACCCTTCTCCACTACTGAAGACGCCAACAAAGAGATGTCTTTGTCTTTAAATCTCGGTGCTTTTTTGTCTCTTGTGGTCAGGAGGGCAAGAAACTGGTTTCTACCCGCAGCAGGCTCTTTTCTGGAGTTCTCCCCAGTGGTTCCCATGTTTCTGAGCTGGTTTATTTTCCTGTGCTTCTCTTTTACACTGACGACCTAGTGCTGGAAACTGAACTGGTTCACCTGCATACCACGGGGGCCTTTGATCTTCCCAGGGTGGAGAAAGTGAAGGTGTTTGCCCAGCCTCTTGGCAAGGTAGCTTCAAGGGCACATTAGGTGTTGGGCCTGTGGGGCTTTCTTATGGGCCCTCCTTTTTTTCTCCTGATGTCATGCTTTTCCTTATCTTGTTTCCACCCTACTTTTCATTTGTTTGGGGGCCAGGGCAGCATCTCCAATACTGATCCCTTTGAGCACCAATATCTCTGCTGGACCCTTGACTAAAGGACAGAACAATGGAGTAGAAACCTGAAAGTCGAAACATTGGTCTCAGCCTGGCCTGGCCAAATAATTTGCTCTCTTTTCACTTTTGTTTCTCCATACACAGAATAGAAAATAAATGGTAAGTAAATTTATGGTTGGGCTCATGTGTGACTTGTGCTGAAGAAGGAACAAAGTTCATGTGTGAGCTAATTGGGAAAGGGCAGTATGCCCAGGTGGTTGTTGTCGTTATTAGGTGCCATTGAGTGGACTACTACTCATAGTGACCCTATGAACAATAGATCTGAAGCTTACCCTTCCGGCACCATCCCCACTGTCTCTGATAGGCTCCAGACCATTGTTAGACACTGTACAAATCGATTGCGTGGAGGATCTTCCTCTCTTTCTCTGACCCTTCCTAATATGATATCTTTTTCAAAGAACTTTCAAAGAACTGGCACCTCCTAACAACATGCCCAAAGTATATGAGACAAAGCTTCACCATGCCTCCCACTAAGGTGCACCCTGGTTGCATTTTCTCCAAGACAGATGTGTTTGTTCTGTTGGCAAGCCTCTTCACCAACACCACCATTCAAAGGCATCAATTCTCCTGTCATTCTTATTCATTCTCCAACTCAGATGCATAAGAAGTAATTGAAAAACCATGGCTTGGATCAGGTGCACCTTAGTCTTTAATATTTTTGCTCTTTAGCAAAGTCCTTACAACTTTAATCTTTTCTCCATCCATCACGATGTTGCCTTTTGGCCCAAGGATGAAGGCTTTTGTTTTCTTAGTGTTGAGATGCAATCCAAATTGAAGGCTGTAGTCTTTGATGATCTTCACTAAGTCCTCTTGCAAGATGTGTCATCTGCATAATGCAGGTTGTTGATGAGTCTTCCTCTAATCTTAATGCCACATTCTTCTTCATAGTTTCATTCTTCCGGTTTCTGGGATGATTTGCTCTGTATATAGATTGAATAGGTGGGGGGGGGGGAAACAACAACTCTGAGGCACAGTCTCTGATTTTGAATCATGTAGTGTTCTCTTGTTCTATTCTAACAATTACTTCTTGGTTGTCAAACCAACCAAAGTTTTGTGTGAGTACAATTAAGTGCTCTGAGATTCCCATTCTTCTCAATGTTAGTCATAATTTGTTATTATTTGAACAGTTAAATGCCTTTGCTGAGTCAATAAAACAGAAGTAAACATCTTTCTGGTATTCTTTTCTTTTTTCTAAGATCCATCTGACATCACAGTAATATCCCTTATAGAACAGCCTCTTATAAGTTCAGCTTGAAATTCTAGCAATTCCCTATTGATGTACTGTTTCAGCATTTAAAAAATAATCTTTAGTATGATTTTACTTGCATATTATATTAATGGTATAATTTCTATAAACATGGAAGTTCTGTTGGATCACTTTGGGGAGGGGGGATGGAAATAAATATTCATTCTTCCAGTAAGTTGGCTGAGTAGCCATTTTCCAAATTTCTTGGCACAGGCTAGTGAGCATGTCCAGGGCTGCATCTATTGAAATACCACAATTAGTATTCCATCAATTCCCAGGACCTTATTTTTTGCTAATTCTTTCAGCCCAGCTTGGACTACTTGTCAGTACCATTGGTTCCTTTTCACATG